TTTTTACAACCAAGTACTGATGGAGCTTTAACAATCTTCTGGAAAAATAACCTGGTAAAATATACAATATTTACAGTTTCATCTTCAATAAGTGAATAAGGATAATCATCATTAAAATTGGATTTTAGATTTTGGAACTTCATGACAGCATTTTCATCCAACTGGTTAGCATCTATATTTAACAAATCCTTTATATTTTTATTCTGAATATTTGCAAAGACTTTTATATCGAATTATTTTCTCAGCATCTAAAACTTGCTCTACTTTAATGTAATAGTTTCCACCAACTAGCTGCTTGTAATGACCAAACCTTAGTTCTATAGGATCGGATTGGAGCTTTGCTAAAAGGATATAATTTACATTATACTTTTTGGATAAAATATGCTCACTAAATTCTTTAAGGCTTTTAGACAATTGTATGAAGGCTAAATTAGTTGAATACGATAAGCCTGTATTAGGAACTTTTAACCGATTGCATTGATTAAGAAAGACAACAATTTTTTTCGAAATATTTATGCTTTGGTCTAATGGGTTTCGAATCGGTTTCATAAGCATGTCTCGTTTATGTAAACCAATAACTGAAGATTTTACATTAACAACTTTTCGATTTCGATTGACGACATGATTTTCTTTTGTTCTAATTAATAAATAAAATCCAATCTTACTAAGCATTTTGAGGACCTGAAACTAATATTTCTTTAAAGTGGGAACATTTATTGTAGAAAGAGGAAAAAGGCAAACAGTATCCATATAATTTCCAGCAACTGAAGTGTTAAAAAGTACTAAAACGGTTGTTGCTAACTTCTTTGTTTCATCAACGATACCCAAAAACCTTCTATCTCCATACTCAACTTCTTGATTAGAATAATTTCTTCAAATACTAAATTTACAATTTTTTCATTTTTGGTCAAACACTGTATTCTTTTTTCAAGATAAATTTTAGGCATTTACATCTTGTAGCGTTTTTTACTACTTGTATACGACAACAAACAAATAACTAGAAGATTATTGTTGTATTTTTTACTTTGGCAAGGTTTTTCCAATAAAAGAAGCTAGTCTATAATAAAGTTAAACTTCGTTCGATTTTTTCAGTGCAATCATATTCTTTGCAAAAGTTTAACGCATGTAGATATAGGTGAAATTTCACTATTTTTTTTAATTAAATAATGTATGTGGCTTAGCATATTCTCTAAATCTGATAACCTGGAAATTTTTGCTATGTTTGCCATTATTGATTGGAAAGATTCTTTAGGAACAACTATGTTATTTATCTAAACATCGAATTTTTATAAATGACAACAGATGATTTGACAGTTACTCCTGTTGCATTTAACTGAAGAAGAGAATAGCTCACAGTAATAATAGCAACAAAAATATTAAATGAAAATTTATGATTTCGCTTTCAATTGCGAGCGACTAAAAAAGTTGTGCAACCTTTAGTAAGCTCTTCAAATGATTTAACAGCACCTTTAGATTGTAAAAGTTCTAAATCGTTCATTATTACATTATTTTTCCAATTTAGGCAAGAGAAAAAATAGTTAAACGAGGCACTGGTGTTACTATACTTAAACTTGGAAAAGATGGAAATACTGAGAGTACAACTTCAGGTCTTTATACCTTCCTTTCTAAATTTTGTTCTAAACGAATTCGCTTGCAACTTTAATTCGCCTCAACCATTGCTCACAAACATTGCTATCAGCAGAAAAGGAATGATAGCTTTTAGATTTCGGATCAGGATCTGTATTATACCCAAAATTACATTCATAAGCACAGCATCTTCGTACCATGGTTATATAGTTATTTAATGTAATAAGTCATAAAGTTTTAAGATTCACGTTTTTAGCTTTTCTAAAAACTTCGTTTTAAGAACTGGTTTTACATTAGCGTATGATTTTAAAAAAATAGTTTGCGAGTGCGCAGATCAGGTACATAGAAGACCTTGTATTTACACGAGGGTACATATGGCGGAATACTCCGTGGAACATGAACAAATGTACTCTCGTGTCAACGCTACTTGAACAAAAATTCACGGAACATTTCAAGAACTTTTGTACCGTCCCGCCAACCCAGAACAAATAAATGTTCCGGAACATTTATTAGTTTTTATATAAAAAATTGTTCCTATTTTCAAAATAAGCGTAGGAAACAATAAAAGCATAATACAAAATGCAAATTTGTTGTGAAAGGCTCAAACTATTCTTTTTATAAAGTTGTTGTCATCTTAACCAGAGTTTTTAGTACTTGATCTCTGCATTGTCCTTGGACTTGATCATATATCAAAACAAGAGAATCAATACTATTGGCCTTGCAACATGTAGCCTTGAAACTTTTAGTCTTGGCCTTTCATCTTTCTTATTGAATTTAGAACATTTTATTAGGTATTATTTCATAATTTTATTCATCGAGTTAGATAATTCCGATCCCACATGAGTATCAATCATGAGTAGACCAGATGGTGGGAGATTATTTAAAAACAATTTCCCAGACCATCACAACTATTGTTGTTTTTAACGATATTAAAAATCTGGTATTTTTTCATGGGGTTCATCTGGGTCCCTTCAGGGATTTCCCGGATTCATTTCAGCTGGGCCATTTGTTGAATGCGTTAAAACACATAATGGATACAATTGTTGTGAACGATGTATTCAACCTGGCGAGTGGTATCAAAAAATAGTTTTACCAGACTTATCTGCTCCATTAAGGACCAATATATAGACTTTTTCAATCAACATGATTCAGAACACCATAACGCCATATCTCCTTTTACAAAGCTAAATTATAATATGGTAAGTGGTTTTCCAATAGATTATATGCATTGCATTTGTTTGGGTGTTGTCAGAAGAATTTTAAACTTATGGATTCGTGGCCCACCTTCAAATAGGTTGTCTCAAAATATTATTGCAGTAATTTCACAAAAACTGGCAGCTTTGAGACTGTATATTTCAAAAGAGTTTTTTAGAAAGTCTCGTTCATTATCAGAATTTAGACGATGGAAGGCTACTGAGCTCCGTCTTTTTTTGGTTTATACAGGGCCAGTGGTTTTAAAAGGACTGCTGTTACCAAATCATTATCAAAATATTATTGACTTATCTGTTGCTGTAAGGATTTTGTTGTGTTCTTCTTAACTTAAACATTATGCTGGGTATGCTAGTCAGTTGTTACAATATTTTGTGCAGACTTTTGAAGAGTTGTACGGTAGAGATTAGCTAGTATACAATGTTTATTCATTAATACACTTAGCTGATGATGCAAAACACTATGGTGCTCTTGATAATTGCTCGTCCTTCAAATATGAAAGTTATCTTGGTCAATTAAAAAAGCTTGTTCGCAAGGCCCAGTCACCTTGTTCACAAATTGCCAAAAGAATTTTTGAAAATGCAGATTTTTATACCTGTCGGCGTATTCATTCTGTTGGTTTTAGTAAACTTCACACTGAAGGTCCTGTAAATATTACTCTGAGCCATTATCTTCAATTCAAACAGTATCAGAACAAAAAGTATTTTATGTCTAACAGTGTCGGAGATAATTGCTTCGAAATATGTGGTAAAATTGGAATTGTTAGAAATATTTTAAAACCAACTGCCACCAATGATAATGCTTATATTCTTTTTGAGGCGTTTGCTTACAAAGAATCTTTTTTTAAAGATCCATGTGATTCTCAGAAGTTAAATATTTATATGGTTGAGAGAACTGATGGTTTATATGAGTGTTTGCCGCTAAGTGACACAGTGAAAAAATGTCTTTGTTTACCGTATTAAAATGGATTTATTGTAATGCCGCAATTGCACTATTGAAACATTTTGAAATTTTGTATTTGTTTTTTTTTATATTTAATTTTCATATTATCATATTTTTAGATGTTTAACCACATCAGTACCACTAACTTGTAATATTAGTTATAAAGTGTATATATGTATGCAATGTTTATTACGTTGCTCTCAATATTGAATATTTTTTTCTTTGAATATATATATATATATATATATATATATATATATATATATATATATATATATATATATATATATATATATATATATATATATATATATATATATATATACCCAATATATACATATATATATATATATATATATATATATATATATATATATATATATATATATATATATATATAAATATATATATATATATATATAAATATATATATATATATATATATATATATATATATATATATATATATATGTATATATATACCCAATGTTTATTACGTTGCTTTGAATGTTAACTTTTAAAAGTAATTCATTATTTCTTTGTTTACAAAAAAAATTATATTTATTTCATAGTATTTAAAAATTGCACTATCGAAACATTTTGAAATTTTGTATTTGTTTTTTTTTTACATTTTATTTTCATATTATTATATTTTTAGATGTTTAATCACATCAGTACCACTAATTTGTAATATTAGTTATAAAGCGTTTATATATATATATATGCAATGTCTATTACGTTGCTCTCATTGTTGAATATTTTTTTCTTTTAATATATATATATATACATATATATATATATATATATATATATATATATATATATATATATATATATATATATATATATATATATATATATATATATATATATATATATATATACCCAATATATATATATATATATATATATATATATATATATATATACCCAATGTATATATGTATATATATATATATATATATATATATATATATATATATATAAATAAATATATATATGTATATATATATATATATATATATATTTATATATATATATATATAAATATATATATATATATATATATATATATATATATATATATATATATATATATATATATGTACACATATATATATATATATATATATATATATATATATATATATATATATATATATATATATATATATATATATATATATATATATATATATATATATATATATATATATATATATATATATATAAATGTTTAATACGTGGCTTTCAATGTTAACTTTTAAAAATAATTCACAGTATTTAAAAATTAATTTTAGTTATATAAGTTTTATAGTTATTAAATAATCACTGGAATGTATGCTATTGTGGTTTTTGACAACGAGATGAAAACTGAATACATTCCTTTCAATTGGATAATCAATAAAATTGAACTTCAAGAAGTTTCAATGTTGGTTAGGCAGCGTATAGAATTAAAATGCTACTGGCCTCCATGGTCAAATTCAGGCAAAGTCAGTAAAGCACAAAAGCAGTGCTCTGAACCTGAAATAGATTGGAAAACATACTCTATTCGATTGTTAGCAGTTGCAGGTAAACTTTGCTGTTTATAATACAAATATGATTTAGTAATGAAATTTATGCAACATTATACAAATTACAATTCAATTTGTATATAAGCTAAGTTCAATAATATTATTTTTGGAATGTATATGGTAGGTAATGAGAAAGAAGCATGTAAAAGGTGACAATTGCAGAAGAGACCTCTAATGTCGAAGAGAACTTTACTAAGCAAAAAAGAAAAGTGTAAGCTATTTTATATGGCTCGATTTACTAAATTATTATTCTAAATTTTATTGTTAAAAAATTTGATTTAATATTAACTTACCTCTATATATTTTTTAAACATTATTCTTATTGTAAACAGCAAAGAAGATTTAATTGAAAGTACTGATTCAGAAAGTAAATACAGCAATAGGTGTTCTGTTTGTTTTTCATGTAGTTTTTTTTTTTCCTTTTTTTCACAAAATTTATTTGTTTGTTTTTGTCTGTTGTTTGTTTTTTTCTATTTTATTTTAAATTAAATAATTATTTTTTTATTTTTTTTATTTATAGAAGAAAGAAAAAAAAGATATCTGAAAAGCTTCCTAAGCCTGTATTTTACTTCTTAATTTAGTGGTTTACTTTGATAATTGTCAATAAAATAATTTATCATTGCATGAATGAAATCAGTTTTTGATTTATAAATATGGTTTATAAATAGTTAAATTTAATTATATGTTTAACATATAATTAAATTTAACTATTTATAAACCATATTTGTAAATCGAAAACTGATTTCATTCATTGATTATCATTGATATGATTAACATTGTTAATCATATAAATAAGAAATAAACTGTACCTATACTAATGACTATGAAAAATTAAATAACAGTATTGATTTTGGGTTATTAGGGGTTTGTCATTTTGAGATTGAAAACAGTGGATTGTTAACTCCTGTGGTACGCACAGAATCGTCAGGTAAAGTTTATATTGTTGTAACATTTTAAACTGCTACTAATATTATCATTCAATATCGTTCTTTATTATTTTTTTTAAGAAAAGGAAGTTCAGCACAGACAAAATAAAACTTTTGATTTACAGTCAGAAAGTGTTGTAAAGTCAAAAGATATGTCTGGTCTTCCTGGTAACACAAGTACTCCATTGTTAAAAACGTTTGGTTACACTACATCTGGTAAGATACTAAATTAACAAAATACATCACCAACATTTTTCCTTCTACTTATTTTTTAAAAGTATATGACAATATGATGTCAATCAAAAGTAAATCAAAATAGTATCCAATAGCGTGAAGCGATTTTAAAAACTTTTGAAATTTGATTTGCCTGAGCTGAGAATCTATGTCTTATGGTGAAAAAAGAACCTTACTTTTTTTGTAATTTTAATTAGTTCTTTTTTTTTTTTTATTATTTGCTTTAGGTGACCTAAGAAGTCCTTTACGGTCTTATCACAGACCACAGCGGAGAAGAGCATTTAATAGAAAGTTCACGCCTCCTTTATAACCGATGTAAAAAAACTTGTCCAGAGGTGGGTTTCGAACCTGAGATCTCTAAACTCTGAGACAAGCGCGCTAACCACTGCGCTACACTGCTGCAAATTTTTGTTATTTTACTTTGTTAAGTTACTTTGAGATTCCTCTTTTTTTTTTCTAAACTATATCAACTTAGTACTCAAAAGAAATTGCTGGTTTTGAATATATATACAATATTATATACATATAAATGTATACACAATAACATTTGTTTTTATTTAAAACTAAAGGAATAAAAAATAGTATTGTCTTTTTTAAAAAAAAAACAAACGTCTTCAACGAAACGGGGGTTTCAAGTATATTTTGGAAATATTTTATGAACTCTTTTTTTTTAAACTAAATAATTATTTATAACACAATCATTTTTCTTTTTGTTTTGAGTACAAAGTTATGGTTTATGGAAAAAAAATATCAAAAATATTAGGACCCGAATTCCGAGAATTTAGAATCCAAGGAGGAACCTTAAAATCTTGTCATAATTGGAAAGTATTTGTTTACTTTTTTCTTATAATTAATAAAGATCGATTCGCGTCTCAGGAATGTTCATTTTTAAACTCTTTTTTTTTGCTGTGAAAATTGCTCTACCCTAGTACCGAATACCACTTTGTTTGAATTATTAATTTTTTTTTTATATTGGTTTTTAATAATTGCTTCATTTTTACATTATAAGCAGAAAAAGTTGTTGAAAATTTTGGCAGCTCAAGAAGAAATAAGAGAGACGCAAAAGTTGCATTCAGCTATGTTGCACAGCATTCAGCAACAAATTAATTCAACGCATGGCATTACAGAGGATGAAATTGAATTAAACTTACCACTTAAAACAACTGAAGATGTCGAAGCTTTTGAAGATATGTTGAAAGATGAAGATGTGAAAAAAAAATTGGTTAACTTATTATTTAAGGTTTTTCCTGCATTGAATATATACCAAATAAAGTATAGGTTTATATTATATCTTTTTTTTTTTTTATATGTACATTCTTAAATTAAATATTTTGATATATATTATCCGTTTTGAAGTGATTTTTATTATTTTTTATTGAATTTTATTATACAATACTTCATATTTTCATTTATTTAATAAAAAATATATATATTGAAACTTTATTATTTATTGATTATTTATTTATTTTATTATAACTCTAACCTTAACCCTGCCCCAACCCTCCATCGATGCATAGAATACTTTGCAAGTTTTTCCTCAGTCATTGGATGCAAGACCCGGCCATTGTTAGGTCACTTTTGCCCTATTTGCCCTAAATAATAAAAAAATAACTAGTTTTAAATTTATTTATTTATTTATTTTTTTTTTACCAGGTTCAGGTCCTTGTAAATAATGGTGGTATGAATATAACAAATTTTGTTAAGAAGGAATATGAAATTTTTATTTTCTAATGAACTGGCACGAAAATATAACCTAACTGGTCAGAAAAATAAAAAACCATTTTAGCCATTGCAGCTATTTCAAATAATGTTTTGTAAGTATGGTATAGTTACTATATCATAATATGAAATATATATCATATATGATATATATATATATATATATATATATATATATATATATATATATATATATATATATATATATATATATATATATATATAAATCATATCATAATATGATATATATTATACTTTCTTTATTTTCTTCTTGAATTAATGGTAGGAATTGCAATCCTGCCCTCGAGATCCCGCATTATTTCAGCGCATGCGAGATCCCGCTCAGAGTACTGATGGCTCCTCGCCACAAATTAATTATGGATCCGTGCCAATTTGGTGGGAAATATAAGTAGAATACAGTGCATGCATTTTTAATCTCTGATAGTTTGTAAATTGTATAAATTGTGGACATATATAAATTATATTACATAAACTACATAAGTCACATACTGTTGACAATTGAGCAGAGATTAAGAATAAATGCATTGTGATTCATTTTTATTTTAACAGTGACTGGCGATGATCCAGCAGAAATCTGTGGCGGAGATCTAGTGTTTCCCCTGTGTTCAAATAATGCAAGATCTCGCAGTGTGGGATTGCAATTCTTAATTAATGGTATTGATTTCTTTATTTTCATAGCAAAAAAATTATTAGTACTTTTACCCAGGGGACCATCCATAAAGAACGTCGTCTAAGTAGGGTGGTAGGGGTCAAGATTAAAAAGACACAAAGGCGGAGGAGGGAGGTTGTCAGAAAAGAACATCACTTTTTAGATTTTTTCTTTCAATTTTATAAACATGAAAAACTGTAACATAAACATGAAAAAATGTAAATATGTGTTTTTATGAAGATAATTTAAAATAATATTTTTAATTTTGTTTTTCAAAGGTGTAGGACAAGTGTCAAGCATCATTGTAAGATCAAATAATTTTTTTTCCGGTTAAAATAATGGGGGCGGTATCGATTTTGTGACGTCCTTTTCAAGCGTAGGGGTACAGGAAAAAAGTACAACCGGTGACCAAGGGAGGGGGGGGTCAAAAAATGCTTCAAAAAGGTTCTTTATGGATGGCTCTTATCTTGTGTCATTGATATTTTTTTTTTATATATTCAATATTTAGGAATTTAGGCGTCTAAAAAAATGACAATTAATAAGATTAATGTAAAGTATGGTTTAAGGTGGCCACAAAAATATAAAAGTATGTATTGATTTAGAAGCTAATGAAATTTATTACAACTAATGTTGTATGTTTAGGTGCAGCAAAAAGAAACTATGAAACAAAACAAAATTTATCAAAAAAGCTTCTTGAAGAAGCACTTTCCGCTTGGTTTGGTAATGCTCGAGATAGAGGTAAAGACAGCCGAAAAGAGAGAAATTCATATGCAGCAAACACGGAAAACAACATATAGAATGTTTAATGTACATTGTATATATATCGAATGCAGCAACGAACACACATATATATATATTGATTACATATTTAATAATAGTTTATTTTATTTAATAAAACATACATTCGCATGTGCTTGTGTTTTCAATTTGTATATAAACGTGCTAAAACGTTTTCCTTTCAAAGAAAATGAAAAATTTAATGAAAAAATTGCTTTAAACAAGTAATCGTTAAATAAAAGTATAAAAATCACAGTTATAAATAATACAAAATACATTCGGGGAAAATCTGGGATCAATGCGGGAGAAATGAAAAAGCAGGCGATCGATTTTCGTTTTTTTTTATTTAGCCCGTATGGTTCCCATGTAAATCCCGCGGCCAAATCCCGCACGGTTCCCGTTTGACATCACGGATGGTTCCCGTATGGTTGTGCTTGCTGGGATGATACAAGCCTGTAGATGAGTCATAGTGATATATTTTTTTATTATAAAATATTCATAAGATTAATAATAAAACATTTTGCGGAGCTAGAAGAGTAGTTTTCGGGCTTTAACGCTTTTGGACGCGTTAAAGCTCGATTCCGTGTAATTTGCAAACGTATGGAATGCGATTTTACCTTTGCTACAAGAATTTATTAATGCTTGAGTCACTCTTTATAACATTTGTGAATATTATGACAACATTATTATATTAGAATGGCTTACACATCAACATGATGACAGTCTGACTCAACCCAATACAGTTTCTACTGCTGGGAATAATGGAACAATGTTCGTGACTCAATAGCTAAATACCTTTATGTGGGGGCAAATAAAGTAGTAATGTTTTTTATTATTTAAAGCTTTAGCTCTAATATGGTTATGTATTTATTAGTTTTAAAGTAAATTTACTTAATTGAGTTTATTAAATGTGTCTAAATAAAAAAATATTAAATATGTATGAACACAAAATGAAAATAGTTTTTAATGGTCGTGGGTAGCTTATTAATGTATAATATGTTTATTCAGTATTATACCACTAACGGAATGCTTTTCTGTGTCATCAAAAGCATATAAAAAAGATATGACCTATCCATAAAAGCCAAGTTTTATAAGAAACAGGATAACAAACCTCCAACGTCACCATTTGTATGGTGGGTATTTTGAGTTGGGTTTCTATTGTCTAAACCAGACTTAGCTGGACCCGCAGCGCTATTTGCATTTAATTTTACCTCTCCTAAATTAATAAATATTAAAAAGAAATTATATAAAAAATGTGTATATGCAAAACTGTTTGTCACTAATTTTTATTTGAGATTTACTTACCGTTTGGTTAAGCGCTTTATCTTTTATGTACCGTCAAGCCAATTTTACATGTGAACGTTACAAGACACATTTTGTAGAACTTTTATTATAAAACATAAATCTAACATAAAATATACAAACATATTTAAATTTTTTGTTTACACCCCCTCCCACCGCCTTTCCTAGAAAAAAATATGCGTTGCTATCCTTCCAGGGTACCAAGATGTCGCACATGTACAAAAATTTTGCATCAAATCTTATTTAAATAATTTTTGCCTAGAAATGCTTTAAAATTTAAATTTATTGATTATTTTATTAAATTTTCTATATATTAAAAATTTGTATTACAACACTCATGACATAGTTATAATCTTAGCAAATAAAAAATGATTATAAATAGCTATTGTTGCGTTTGCTGGGAAAAAAAAACTAAACGGTCTTATTGCCGTCAAAGATACTATTGAAAAACTCTCGAATGCCGAATACAACGGGGGGTGGGAATAAACGGGTGGGAATTTTAGTCAAATTCTAA